TATAAAAAAATAAATTAATGTGGGTCCCCAGCCACAAAGGAATACACGGCAACGAGCTTGCTGATGCCGCTACTATCCCTGACATTGAAAAAGATATCTGCAACAAAATAAAAATGATATACCAAGAAGTGGAGTCAAATGAGTGCTCGTCTTTCCTCCAGGCATATAAAGTCATCAACTCATCTAAAAACAGCATCCGCTTCCCAGCCGACTTAAATCGCCGCGACTGCGGTGTGGTAACCCGTATGAGAATTGGACGCACAAAAATATCACACTCACACCTCTTAACCTAACCCCAACCGTTAAACACCTACTGGATGATTGTAAACCACTGGACAACATCAGGCGAAAACACTTCAGTTCAAAAGCACCGTTTTCGCTACTTAAAGATATAAACTCCTCGAATATTAATATTATTACGTCTTTCCTTAAATCTGCCAATTTATACAACCTTATATAAGGCAAAGCATCGTTTGTATAAATAATGAATATAATTTTTCTTTTCCATATATGTACACTAAGCTTACTTCAATTTACTTTTAATATAGGGTCGATGGTCTATGCAACTAGTACCCATTATTTTAATTAGTTATAATATTATAGTATTATGTATTATAATTAATTGTTGTAAATAAATAAATATACATATATCATTCGAGAGGTCTAAACTCGGTATAGAGTGAACTGAGTTACAAGCTTATAAGTGCGGAAAACCGATTTTTCAACAGTAAATCAAGATTGTGTGGGTGGGTGACAAAAATTTCGTATCTCGATTCATACTTCACTCGGCAAAACCTTCCTGAAAAATAACATGACTTACCAAGTATTTTTACTTCATTATTTTTTGTAGCATTGTGTAATAGAGCATCAAATTTGTACTTTCTCTATTTAATTTAAAAACTTATTAAATATAATAAAATAACACTCAAGAAAAAAAACATATAAAATTATAACGAATAATCAAAAATAATTACCTATATACACACATCCTTTTTTAGTATTGGTTATTATATCTGATTTTTTCTTTTAATTGTAAATGAGATAATTATTTCTTAATTGTTTCTAAGTACATTGCTTACTATTTATTTGAATATTTCAAACAAAATAGTTAATCATTAACATTTAAGCAAACACCAAATCTTTTTTGCTATTCAAAATCAAAAATAAATAGGTTTAAAATTATTTGATTCTTTAAATTTCTTTTTAAACATGTGAAAACAAAGGCAAATAAATCATCACGACAAATATTCTTTTGTGCGTTTACCTGTGTCCTTGACCACAGATGCTATATTTCTCCATGCCAAACTAGTCATGTCTGTTCTACAGTAGTTTTTTTCGGTATAGTTCCATAAACATGGTTTTTTTTATTAATTCGACTAAAAAAATTGAGGATGACGTTTCCGCCTGTGAAACTAGAATGCTTATCGCAAAAAATGGCGCGAAATACTAATCTCACCTCGTTCAGAAAACCCTGTGCGATATAATATTGCATGCGCATGCGATATTATGTCGCAGTGGTGTCGCTGTCGTACTTCATCGCTTCCTACCAATTCCCACGTACTCAGCATGCCGATGTCGCATTCATATCTTATCGGGTATCGTATCGCATCGCATATCGTATCGCTCTAATGTACACCGTGCCTAACAATGTAAATCGAAAATGCAAGTTAATGAATTAAAATGGCTTTATAACTCTAAATTTCGTATTGAGATGGACTGGAAGAACTGAAAAAATTAAATTAAAAATTTAATTTAGCATGTGTTACTAGTAAAAATATTGTATGAAAATCTGTCGCGTACGTTATTATGATTTTTTTTTTAATAAAAACTAACCAGAGATAATTTCTATTAAAAAATGGAAGGATTGTAAAGGTACATTATTTAGCTTAGTTTAGGAATTTTTAAAGAAAAGAGAAACTCCCATGATTCGCAGACTTTTGCTTTTATGTATATGCGCCTTAAAACTTTTATTTTTTTTGTCGCGTGCGTTATCACCTTGTTTTGAACGGATATTTTCCACACCAAAGCTTCGAGACTGCTTATATTTTTCTCAAACATAGTACCCTTGGGTTTCAACATAACCGTAATCTTGTTTTTCAGTAACTTCTATTTTTGATAGATTTATGTTACTCCATAAGCGTACGAATGCCGCGTACCTCTGCATGGAAACACCAATATGTATGAGGGCCAGATTTAGAATTTTTAGAACCTAGGAGCAATAGTTTGATGGAGACTCTCAAAATTTTATACAATGTTAAAGTCTTTAAAAAATATTTATACATATGTATATTTAATAATAGTTTTATTATGTTTATTAAAAATTTACAATTCTGCTTACTTACTTTTAACGTTCTTAATGTAGCGAAAATTTTACGCGATTTTTTATTAACAAAAGTATTTATGAGATCATCGAAATTCATATCGCGAAGGATGTCACTTTCAAAAAATAATACTATGTCTCCGCTGAGAGATTTACATATCAAGATTTAATAAATCCCGTTGCTAAATCACAATCGTCTCCATCATGATTCAATAATTAAAGGTTTGCTCATTAGTGACATTAGGGTTTTGACACTCCCTTAGCTCCCTTACAAAAGCAAGGCATATTTAACAAGGCAGAAGCAAGGTGTATTAAACAAGGTGTGATTGACAACTCAGTACGGCTCTCTTTTAAGGTACTATAATGTCAAAAAGTATAAACAAACGAACTCATACCAAGGCTTTTATTTTGATTATAGTTTTGTTTTACTTACATTACCTGGAATATATATATTTTGTCAATAAAATAAAACAAATTGTTTATAAAATCGTTTTAGCAATTTTCTTGTTTTTAATTGCCCAAGTTTTATGCTTTTGTGCCTTTATTTTTATATTTAAATTTTTAATCCTAAACATTATTCGACACTTATAGAAGTATGATTTTACATTTGTTTCCAATTTTATATGAGAGCTTAACTCTAACAATTTTGAAATTAAATTTTTTTTTATGCGAAATAGGTTTGGTATAAACGAGCTCGTTTGAAAGTGCTTGACTCGGACGGACAACAAATGAAATCACTTTCCTTGAAGTGGTTTTCATAAACACGAGATGAATCACGTAGTACAACACTACATCGCTGCCGTTTTAACTCGCAACGAGGTGGTTTAAAACATCGCTCTATTTTCGTGTCCTGACTTTTATTGCATACAGCGCACCGTTCAAAAGTTTTGCTCCGTTTCATTTTGGTTTCCTTACATTAAATATTTAAGGAAAGTCGAACGTATATATTTACTTATTACCAAACTTTAAATGTACTTACTTGCTCTCCTCGGTGGTTTATCTCTCAACAATTTAACGTTTATTAAGAAAATTTGTTGCTTGAAAAATATTTGTGTAATTTTTTTTTTAAACAAATTCAAATTTGAAAAAAAAAATATTTTCAAATGGGTTAACAATTCATTTCAATTTGACATTATAGCCTGTTTCTTATGAGAGCAATGTCAAAATCAATCACACTTTGTTGAATACATTTTGGGTAGAAGTAACAGCTAGCTCGAACTCTCTTGTAGCTAGTTATAATGTCAAAAAGCTGTAAACTATGTTTGCTACAAATTAGCATCAATTGAACCTCATCACGGTGAAATTATACCAGTTTTAGTAATAAGAGCGAGATGAATGATTTGACCCTATATTATTTGAAAATTTGCCTTTAAAAATTTGTATAAGATAGCCGCATGTCAGGAAAATAAAGCGAGAAAGCTTTTTTATTACTTCACCTGCTTATAATTTCACCATGGAAATGCATCAGCATAAATACATACATGTATGTACGTATACTAATTTTAAGGATTACTCCAATATAACCTTCAAAGAATACCTCATAAAGAAAACCACGTCATTAAATGAAATAAATGTTTTATGAAACTGTTTTAAACATTTTTTTGTTTCTATTCACCTAATGTTTTTGCGCGTTTAGTTAAATAGTTACTTCTAAAAAACATCCCCACTTATAAAAAACGATTTAATGTTTTCTACTACATACGTATGTATATAAGTGTAAATCTAGGTCCAGACGCGGTTATGTGTGCATAGTATTGTAACAAAATTCTCTTACTCAGTTCTGAAATTCCGTGGCTTCAGGCAACCAAGTATTCTAACTTCGTAACTAGGTGCCTTAAAGTATCGCACCACTTTCCACACAATGCAACGCTCGTAGTTCCTGCTCCTTTTCATTTTTGTATATGGATGTATCTATAAATGCATGTGGTCGAAAGAAAAAAAAAATTCACACAATTCAAAACTATCTCAAAGCTCAATTGAATTTTTAATGAAAATTAGAAAATGCCAACTTGAAAAGGGTTAAAAGTTATTCATCATTTGCCATTATAGTCGGTCTTCAAAAGAGAGAAATGTCAAAATCACTTCTACCTTGTTTAATATGCCTTGTACAAAGGCTTTGCACACAGACACGAACCCACACACAGTGCCTTGCTAAGGGAGCCGATTTTGTCAAAAGGGAGCGAGAAAACAGTTTTTTGAGCAAACCTTTTATTATTGAATCATGCGTCTCCATTGCCACAACGAGATATGTATGTATGACGTTCACATTTTTTAAATATTTGACGTTTGCTTATGAATGATTTTATAAATACAGTTGCGGACATGAAAATACAGACAGATAAAGGGAAGGTACCAGTGGTGCGATTCACTAACTTTTAACAACGTTACTCGCCGAGTAGTAAACTATCAATTTTAGTTGTTTGCAGTAACGATTGTCCGATTCACTAACGTACCCATTAACAACACTAAACAGCTCACTTTTGCTTTTTATTTAAAATGATAAAAAGTGGCACCTCTGTTATCCGAAATGTTAAAATCTACGAAAAGCACAAAAAGGGAATAGGAAAAAAACAAATCATTTACACAGATTCTTCTTAAAAATGTAAGTATTTCAATAAATTGCGGAATAAATGATCGTATTTCATAATTTAACCAACAACTACAGTTCTCTTATCGCAAAATGGCCTCGACTAGCCAAGCAGCCAAAAAGCGGAGCCGCGCTTCAATGGAGCAGTTAAGTGGCATGCTGGACTTCTTCATGGAAAACCCGGGACCAGCCGGTGGGAAGTTTCATCGGCTTCACGGGAAGATGGAGCACGAGAAGAAGTGGGAGAAGATGGCTTCCAATTTAAATGCCATTGGAGGCACTCAAAAGTCCACCGAACAGTGGCGTACAGTAAGTAATAAGCCCATTAAGTTTGAACGTACCAGCAAGAAACGGTGCTGTGCATACGAACTGGTGAATTGGGAAAAACTAATCACTTTTATTAAGGTCTGTCGTTTGTGAAAATAATTTTTAACGTAAGAATATCGGTTTTCTTATAAAAGTATACATAGAAGTGGAGTCAATCCCTTGCATTGTTACTGTGCACAGTATCGTTTATTGTGTGTACATGCATTCATTATTTGGAACATTGTACCTGTTAATTTTTAATGATCCTTTTTTCTTCATACGTACATAGGTATGGCGCGATTTGAAGAGCAGAACCAGTGTTCGAGTGCGCGATAGGAAGAGGCAGCAGGCGTTAACCGGCAACAAGCCCGTTAAGAAAGCTCCTTTAACAGCGCTGGAGGAGCGGGTCGTGGCCATCATCGGGAGCAATTATATTGAGGTCCATGCGTCTGTGGCAGGAAATGTACCAATGAACTTGGTAAGTTTTAAGTGACTTATTTCTGACTCAGTATTAACAACTTTTTCATTATTAGGAGCTCCAATTGGCCACGGAAGACGGTGAGGAGATTATTTTCCTAGATGAAGTGGTAGAGTGCGAAGGCTTAATAGAGGAGGAGTCGCGGCCGGAAACTCCAAAAACTGCTACACTCAAAACCCCGCACAGAGGATTGAAGAGGAAGAGAGAGCGGGAGCAGATCGACGTCCAAAATAAATTTTTGGAAATTGCCAAAACGTGCATTTATTTTCTTCCATACGAAGTATATTCGAACATTCTTCTATATAGTAGAAAACTGACAATGTCAGCAAAAAAAAAAATCTCAAAACTCAATGAGTTACACAATTTATATCAAAACTGAATGGGTTATAAAACAGCCCACACGAATTTTTTCCAGAAATTCTGATTAAAAAGCTTGAAATATTGACGACTTTCTGAAATTTTCCCAATTTTTATAAATCATGTACAAGTCTACAACTTTGCTTTGTGGTTTTTTTCTTAAAATAAATTAAAACAAATAAAGAAAAAAATAAATAATCTTGTGAACTCGGGTTTCTAATTATCAGGCCACCAGCGTAGTTAGTAAAACTTTAGCGCCCATCAACTTGAAACTAAATGTGTTTTTTATATAAAGTAAATTTTTAAAAACCTTTCACCCCTATTGCGATTATCATTCTATATTGATAGTGTATAGTTTTTAAGACTGAATTGATATTTTTTTGTATTTATTTAATTTTTCTATTTATATTTTAAGTGAATATTTTTAAATTAAATATTTTTATTTAACACTTTACATGAATAAAGTATCTGAATGTGCATTTATTTTTAAAACTGTGCAAGTTTTTAGTAAATTATTTTGATTTAAAAATTGTATGTGTACAGTGGCACTAACGTAAATAGCACACTTTTATTTTTTACAAGACTCACAAAGTTTTATTTGAAAAATTGTATATAAAAATATAGTTAGATTTAAAACATATGCTATAAATGTAAGTCAAAGTGTAAAACTTTGTGCACAGTTCAGAAAAATGTGACAAAAAACAAAAATTTTATAAAAACTTTTAACTCTTTTTCAGAACTTTAGAAACTTACTGGGTATGCAGTTTTGTTGCTTATTCAATTTGCGGGTGTTGCGCATTTTCTTCCTTTTAAAATCATATTTTTTCATGCGTTGTATGGAAGAAAATGCGAAAAATTTGTTCATTAAAACTATTTAAATTTAATCAAATAAAAATACAATTGGTCCAAAGAGGTGAACATCCATAAATCAATGATTTCACTGGATCACAAATTTTAATTTTTGTTCTGCCACTATTTATAATAGCTCGCTGATTCCGAAAGTCGAGTAAATTTTTTTTCCTGCGGACAAGTTTTCGAGATATTTACAATTTATCCTTACTCAGCTGAAAAAAGTGGTTCCACTTCAGAAATTTTACTGAAAATGAAAGTAGGTTTTTTCGCTTGTAAAATAAGGGTGGATGTTTTTAAAGTAATTTTGAACAGTTTTGGACACATTTAACTTCTACAGCGTACGTTAATGGAGAAAAAATTATAAAAGAGTGATGAAGTCAAGCAAAGACAATCGATAGATAAATAAATGTCAGCTGTGGCAAATTTCCCATGAGCTCGAAAGTTCAAATGTAGCGCTCATTATTTATTACAAAAGAAAAAAAGCTTTTACTACTTTTGGTAACTTCTTGGTAATCTTTTTAAAAAATTGTTGCACAATTTTTTTTAAGTGTGTGGCAACCGTGATTCCAACTCAATGATTTCAACTGTCTTTATTAACATGGCGATGTCCTACGAAGTGACAATGGTCGCCCTCTGCAGAACTTTTGAACTTGTTCTGAGCTGACTCTGTCTAGTTCCGAGACAGCTCATATAACAACAGTTCCTAGATAGTTCAAAAAGGTCACCTCCGGGCTAGAACAAATGTGGTTAGTTTTGAGCTGGTTCTAAGAAGTATAGTATAAAACCTTTTCTTTAAATACTGTAATTAAATAAGCACTCATAGATTTTTGTAAATAAAAAATACTTTTTAATACCGGCTTGAGGTCAGGGCGTCGATGGAATTAAAACATGAAAATACATTATTTCCCAATATATTTCAATCTCCTCCGGAGATCGTCTTCAGGGGCTACAACAATTACACAAGTTTTTTTATTAGCATACAAGAAAAAGCTAACACATTAAAAATATACATAAATACATACACACATTAGTTAAATTTTAGCTCCACGACCACAGTATATACAGTAATAAACCTTTTTGAGTACTCCTCGGGGGTAAAATGTGATCAGGGTTGATAATGAGAAGGAGCATGAATTTTGCTGATTCACAGTTGCATGCAAAATTACTGTGGTATGAAAGGCAGAGCGGCACAGGTAATTTTGTAAACAAACACTTTTCTTATCAATTTAAAAAGATAATTGCTATTTATTTTCCAATATTCAGATATCCAGCTTGTAACCTGGCTTGTGAGGCTCACTAAAATCTATTCATCATATTGGAGCAGCTCCGGGTAATATATCATTGAATGTGTTGGCTGAACGTATGACCACATAACCAACGCAGTCTCCAACCAAATGCGTGTCTTGAATTTATATGGTAGCAATTCATAGCAGTTGCTATTGTATGTATGTATGATTAATATTTGTGACGTTCTATACTTTGATGTTAAGTATTTTTGACGAGTTCCGCTAAAACTTGGGTGTGCTTAATGAGCTGTCTGGGCGGATGCGCTGGCAGGCATTGAAGTCTCAATAACTAAGCAAACCTTTTTTTTGGAAGACTTAAATATATTCCCAAATTTAGACTTTTCCTTGATAAATTCACAAAATTCACGTTTTTAATAAAAATACGATGTGGGTTTATAGAAACACAAGCGTTAATTATTAACTATTGATGTTATTCTTAATTAAGCATTGATATTATACTTAACCTACATTTAGTTCATAAATAACCGAATTATATATATTTTATCCTCGAAAAGACCTTTTTCTAATCATGAGGCGAAATTCCCCACAGTAAGTGTTGCCGTGCGCGCAAAACGAAAACGCTGCACACAACACAAAAGTACTCCTCGGGGACCAATTGGTGAAAAACTGCGAAAAGGTTTACTATCTACTGTATATACTGTGTAAACGACGCCCATCTCGTTTGTCGTGCAGTTTGGAACTAATATTACAAGTGTCAAGCAGGTGTCTGCAGTTTTCTGTGTCCGTTTTGTAGTTTAGTCTCTTGTTTGGTGGTGTGTTAATTAAAAAGGATTATTTAATTAAAATCAAAAAGGTCGCAGTACAAACATAATACTTAATTTTATGTGTAAAGAGCTATTATATTCGATTAAGAATGTCCACGATTTAGCTTTCCCTTATATCATATAGACACATTTGATATTGCCTTTTTTGTCTTTTTTAAGATGTTTGCCTTTTTTGCCCTTTTCTAACTTTCAATTGTGAAGGGCAAGGAAAAATCCCTTATTCTGATAATATGAAACTTTTAAATATTTAAATTGGGGGCATTCGTGCAACTTGAGATTCTAGTTTTGTGAGTTATAAACTAGAAAAGAGAAAATAGACAAAGATCCAAAGCACAAATTTTTCATATATTGAAAGTAGTTCCCAGTTTTTCTTCTTTACTTGTAAAATAAACGTTTCTAAAATAAATTTATATTTTCATTATTTTTGGGTTTTTGTCTTTTTAGTGTCTTCTTTTGCCTTTTTTGCGATTTCTAGTTTCTTTTCCTGCCGTTATCTAATTTTGCCTTTTCTAGCCCATTTCGTTATTAGATTTTGCCTTTTTTATAGTTTTTTATGTCCTAAAAATCCGCTCCCTGCTCATAAGTATTATAACATAAACATATAAATTCACGCTTCTAACTGTGTTGGAAATTTAGTAGAATTCTAGAAATTGTTATAAAAACTTAAATATTTTAAATCAGAGTTATAATTATGCAGTTGTATAGCGAAATAAATTTTAGTATATTTAACCGGGTGATTTTTCATAACTCTTTTTACGCACACTCTTAGAGGTATTCTCCTATTTAAATATTTTCTTTTAAGATGCAAGGTTGCACTTTACGACACTAAAATTTGACGGGCTTCAAAACTGAATACATACTATTGTAATAAGTAAATTTATCCTGCACATGTGTGAACATAAAATTGACCGCAAACGAAGCAAGAAAAATGTAAATACATATATACACATAAAAACGAACCGGTTGGTATCAATTGACGTTTAGACGTTAACATACAATTAGCATTGAAATCTAAGGTACCGCCAGCATTTTGGGAACACTTTAATTAAAGAATATATTATACTAGCAGACCCGACGAACTTCGTCCCGCCCAAAATTTTTATATATT